CACTACTCGCTACTGCCTACACCATACTCGCTACCCAATACGCACACTACTCCCTACTCCCTACTCCTTACTCACTACTCCCAACTCACTACTTTCTACTCACTACCCAGTACTCAAGACTCACTACTCACTAAACACTACTCACTGCCCACCACTCACTAAGCACTACTCACTTCCCCCTAACCACTATCCGCTACTCACTACTGAGTACTCACATTCACTACTCATTACGCACCGCCCACAATTCACTACTCAATATTCGCTGCTCGCTACTGGCTACTCCGTACTTGCTCCCTACACATAACTCACTGCTCACTACTGACTACTCTCTACTCGCTACCCCCTTACGCGCTACCCCATACGAACGATTCACTACCCACTACGTACTTCTCAGTATTTACTACTCCCTACTCCCTACGCACTAGTCGCTAGTCGCTACGCACTACTCACGACTCACTAGTTACTACCCACTACACACGACTCACGACTCACTAATCGCTACCCGGTACTCACTACCCACTACTCAATACCCACTTCACACTACTGACTAATCACTACTCCCTACTCGCTACTCACTACTCACTACTCGCTACTCCCTACTCGATGCGCACTACTCCCTACTCACTACTCACTACTGACTACCCCTCCTCACTACTCACTACTCACAATGCCCTACTCACTGCTCATTATTGACTACTCGTTACTCCCTACTCGCCATTCATTACTCACTACCCACTCCCCACTCCCCACTATTCACTACTCAGTACGCACTACTCACGCCTCACTGCGCACTACTCACTACTCACCACTCACTACTCACTCCTCACTACTCGCTACTCGCTCGTATCTACTCACTACTCACTATTCATTACTCCCTACTCAGTACTCTTTACTCACTACTCACGAAGACTATCCCGAGGCCAGACCCCCCCCCTTGCGGGAGAGGCCCCCTCCCCGGCACCGTGTTCGGCGCAAAGGGGGGGGAGGGGAGGAGGTTCGACCCCCCCCCCACCGCCCTCTTCCAGCGCCAAGGGGGGGAGGGGGGAGGGAGGTCCGGACCCCCCCCCTTCAAGGGGGGAAAGGGGGGGGTCGGACCCCTCCCCCCTTCCCCGATCCGTTGTTGGGGACCCTCCCCCCCTTTCCCGTCGGGGAAACCCCCCCCCTCCCACCCTGTCCCGGTCCGTCGTCGGGGACCACCCCCCTTCCTCCTTCCAAAAGGGGAGGGGGGTCCGATCCCGCCCTCCCCTTTGGCTGCCAAGTTCGACCCCCCCCCCCCCTCCCTCCCCCGTTTCGCCACGGCGCCCCCGGGCTCCGGAACCCCACCCCTACCACCCCTAACACTAAATCGATGTTCCCTATTAATATTCACCCCCTCCCCCAGGCGACTGGGAGCTAACCAGAGCCAAAGAGGGCCCCCACCCCACCACCCTTGTAAAAAAACAATACAAAACACATTCTGCCTCCAAATTCGGAGCATGCGCAGCGAACCCCATGTCCCCCCACCATCCCTGTCAAAAAACAATCCAGAGTACACTTGGCGGCGGCGGCGGCAGCGGCGGCTGCGGCGGGGGCAGCGGCTGCGGCGGCTGCGGCGGTGGCGGCGTCGGTGGCGGCGGTGGCGGCGGGGGCGGCGGCGGCGGCGGCGGCGGCGGCGGCGCGCGGCGGCGGCAGTGGCGGCGGCGGCGGCGGCAGCGGTGGCGGCAGCGGCTGCGGCGGCAGCGGCTGCGGCGATTCGGCAACGGGGGCGGGGGCGGCGGAAGGCGGCAGACAGCGGCGGCGGCGGCGGAGGCGCGGCGGCGGCGGCGGCGGGCGGCGGCGGCGGCGGCGGAGGCGGCGGCGGCGGCGGCGGATTCGCCCCCAGTAGCTGCCCGTCCAAAGACGACTGCTGAATCTGCTGCGGCTCGGGCCAGGCTCGGGTGCTACGTATGTGTTGGGGAGGGCGGGTGGGAGTGAGCGAGACGGCTTGCGGGCGGGGAGGGAGTCTTGTCCTCACCCTTACCTTAACCCCTAACCCCTAACCCTAACCCCAAACCCTAAACCTAGCCCCAAACAGTACTCACTACTCATTAGGCACTACTCACTACCCACTACTTACTACTCGCTATCCACTACTCACTTCTCACTATTCACTACTCACTACTCACTCCTCCCTACCTACCACTCACTACCCAGTACCACTACTCACTACTCCCTACTCCCTACTCGCAACTCAGTGCGCACTACTAACTACTCACTACTCACTACCCACTACTCAATACTCACTACTCACTGAACGCAACTCACTACTCACTGCCCACTACTCGCACATCACTATTCACTACCCACTAACCACTGTCCACTACTCACTACTCAGTACTCACCCTTCACTACTCACTACGCACCGCCCACAACTCACTACTCACTATCCGCTGCTCGCTACTCGCTACTCCCTACTCCCTGCACAGTACTCACTGCTCATTACTGACTACTCACTACGCGCTACTGCCTACGCGCTACTCGC